TCTCTCTCTCTTTCTCTCGTTATCATTAATAAATCATTTAAAAATTAAAATTCTATTGAGAAAAATGTTCTTATTATATCAACAAGAAACACATTCAAAATGAATTCTAATCATGTAAATCAGAGTTTTTTGGCTATTGTAACTGAATTTCTGATTATCCCGACTAGAATGTTTGATAGATTTAACTACAAGTATTTAATTTGTATCTTTTTGTTTGGCTTTGTTAGAATTCCAATTAATTCAACAACACTTTTTTCATTATAACATATTTTATATTATATTTTATTTTTTATTATAACATATAGTATATTTTATGCAAAATAATATATCAATAGGTTACTGATAATAATTTTTTAATAATTTTTATTTATATGTGTATTAAAATATGAATAAAGTATATCAAATATTTTATAATTTATTGATTTTTGCTAAACTTATCTTAATACTTGTACATGTAAAATAATTAAATAACTATAGAGAAATATTATTTAAAAATCAGTTTTATTACAAAAAATAGAGTTATTCTTCAATCTTGAAATCTTCTTCACATACGTTTCCATATACATCAAAAATACTCTCATTACATTATACCAGTACCTCTCGAAATTATGAAATTTTATAGTTTTATTCTTTATATTATTTAGAATAATAGAGATATAAGTACTTAAGTTAGATATTTTACGTAGGTATGTATATTCTCTAGGAAAAAACAAAATAATAATTTTAATTATATTTTAATAACTGTAAAATTTAAATGCCTGCAACAAAGTCATGAGAACGAAAATAGTTTTGAACATCAAAATATGTATATACAGCAAAATATACAGGGTATTTGAAAAGTCCCGGACCCTTTAAATATCTTGAAAAGTAAGCATTTCTGAGAAAAATGTTTCATACAAAAGTTGTATAGTTTAAAATTTATGTACTGATCAAATCGATTTTTTTAAACGAAATATCCTATTTTTTTATTTCAATGTCTAAATAGCTGGTGTCAAGAACTTTTCAAAACATTAATAAAGTTATTTTTTAAGTTATAAAGCTCGGAAATTACAATATCGCCGACATTAGCACTACCCAATGTATCTAACTGATGGCTAAAATCTCTTAAATGTTGTTCAGCATCATATCTTGGATAACATTTGTTAAGATCAAAGACATTGGAGATTATTTTTCTTATTTTTGCAGAAAAATCCATTTTTACGTAAAAATGTAAATAAGAGATACAACCTGCAATGAACCTCGCTTTGATCTTGACAAATGTTATCCAAGTCACGATTCTGAACAACATTTAAAAGGTTTTAGCCGTCGGTCAAACATCTTTGGTTGTAATTTTTAAGAAATATTTTTCAAGTATTTCTTAAAAGTACAATTTTATTGTTTATCGTTTCTTAATTTTGATGAAGCGGAGGAAGTTCGTGGAAAATATATAGCAATTTTTTTACTCGTCGTTGGAATTTTATGAATTGGACTCTATTTTCTCTTACTTTCAAACGAGGAAACAGAATATAATAATTAACTATTTTTTCTAATATTTATATGTTATATATTTATTTATTACTGATTTCGATCTGATAACTTATCTGCGCAGATGATAAAATGTCCCTAGTGATAAATACTTTTTAAATAATTCCATCTCGATAATTTGCACATTGTATATTGAGAAATATTTTTCTTTGCAGGACGAGGTGCTGACGATTTCAGAAAAAGTAGTCGTCCGCGTGCACGACCTAGTCACATGGCTTTCACCTACGTTGGAGTGGTCGTGGGGACGGGAAGTGTCCTATCCAACGACCCCGACGTCGTCCCCGGGGACTAGTCCACTCAGATACGAGATGCCGCAGCCGCAGGTGCTGACGGATCCGGGGATCGATTTCTCGGACGTCGAGAAACAGCAGAAGGAATACGAAAGCAACCTGAACTCTTTGAAAAGATCGGACAGCTTCCAAACGAAAGTGGTGGTACTCTCATATCCTAGATATTGCCGCTACAGGGCACTTCTACGTAGACTCGAAGGTGCCGAGCCCTCCTGGCTGTGCTCGTCCATCGCGGCCGCGTTAGGGGGCTTCACCGCGACACCAGGCACCAAGGTGCTCTTCTGCAGAGACACATTTGACTATCCGGATCTCGAGACTCATGAGCTGCTGTGTAATCACTTGGGTATGTATCATTTATCGATGTATATCTTTTTTAGTTTAAACCTTCACTGTACATAACAATTGGGTCATTCGTGTCTTGCATATTTCTTTTCTTTGAAAAATTGAGAGCATTAAGTAATTAGTTATAATATTTATGTACAATGTGTTTGTAAATACATGATTTTACAAATACTTTCTAAAGATATTAAAGCATATCACTCATTAACCCGGGAACGGTCGCGTCTCAGTCATTTTTCCATTTTCCATCTGTATCTTTCAATTTGTTTAAACGTTTGTTAATGTTTTTCCGTAAGATAAAATAAAAATAAAAATGTATTATACATATAAATAAAATTATTTCCAGTAATTATATTATATTCCTTTGTAATTGAGTAATAATGAAATATTATTAAAACATTTTTTTATTAATTGTTACTTATTATAATAATTATTATAGTAATTAGTGTAATTACAATACATATATACACACACACACACACACACACACACATATATATATATATATATATATATATAAAACCTAATGTAACAAATATATTTCAAAATGGCCGCGACGCGCCTACTATAATATAATGTTAGTCAATTCACACGCCTACTACGGGGTTAATACAATGTTTGTATAATATTTGTTAAAGTGATGAAAATTAAACTGGGACACGAATGACTCATCATGTGTAATAAAGGATTGAAAATCATCACATGTGTATTAAGAGTCAAAATTACCTATTCGGTTCGTAAAAAAAATCTTGCAAAACGATTTCTTTCGATTTATTGTATATTTATTTACACGATAACGGATAATATGGAATATTCGGCAAATCATCGTACAACCGAAAAATGATATCTCTTTTGGTAAGAGAAAAACAAGTGAAAAATGTAGAAGAAACTTTTTTATTAATCGTGCATATATTTTTTGAAAAAAATTATTTTGATCGCTTACGAACAAATGTTCGTATTTGCACACATTTAATTTGCTGCTGGCATTTGTGTATGCGTTTGACTTATAAAGACGCTTGTAACGTGCAACCTTGGAGTTTATTTGCTTGATACTACGAACGTATTATATTATATATAATATGTCACTATACACACACACACACAGAGAATACGCTGTCTATTAATACTAAGTGCTGACATCATTATTATTAACTTATCTTCCGAAAGAAATGGTTATACAATTACAAAAACCTGACATAGCTTTTTTTAATACTAGAAGCTTGTGGCGATAATGTTTCAATTGCACTTATTTATTAATAATAATTAATCTAAGCAATACGTAATTAAAGCACAGCATAATATCTTCACATTGAAAATAATTCTCGAAAAACGTACAATCAATAAAAAGCTTCTACGTATTCTCTTTTTATTCATCTTTCATTATAAATTGCTTCATCTATCTTATACTTTAATAATTATAATTTATTAAATATCTCACACAATTTTGACTTGAGATTTTTTTTCAAATAAATGTTATTTTATTGTAAATATTGGCTATACTTTAATGTAAAAAAAAAAAAAGAGATAGATGAAAAATATGAAACGCCATACTTTAATTGTGTTAACTACAGAGAAGACTTGTGAAGGTAATTTTAGAATGTTTCGATTAAATATTTTAAAAGCTTCCCTCTCAGTCATTCGTAAAGGAACACGATACAATTAATATTCTCCTGTTTAATAACGAATAAATAAACTGTGATCGATATCCTTGCGATGCAACGTCGTTCATAGAGAGGTCTTTTTTTTTGCAATAATGTTTATATTTTTTAAGGCTTCGCTTGAATCGAGCGCACGATAATAGATTCAATTTGCGCATTTATGTACATACGCACGCGCTCGTCGAGAAGAATCCGAGCATATAAAACAAGAGAGACGAGCGATATTACATTCGATTCTCGCGCGTTCTTCTTTGTATACGCCGGATGAAACACGGAGATAACACAAAGATACCGATCGACAGAACGCAACAGCTCGCTCGCTTAACGATACAACACACACGTGAGAGTGCCGACTCTCGTAGCCTGCGCCGGCGCTACGGGGGAAAAAAACCAAAGCCGGCGGTTTGCGACAACGGTGCGTTTCATTGGATCGCGCTCGCGTTTCGCACGATGCGGAAAAAGCGAAAAGCGATCCCGCGAGGGAATGCGATGGACGGGATAAGGCCCAGCGGCGGCCGCGACGCGAAACCGAGGAGTAACGGAAAGCCGGAATAGTCGAGCTCGAAATCTCTCCTTGTCCGAAGGAGGGGGAGGGGGGGGGCCGAATTCGCCGTCATCGGTCCGGGCACGCATTCGTCGTTTTTTCCGACGCATCCGTGCCGCGTGCGTAATTCGACATTCGAGCGGGGGCAACCGGCGAGCGCTCGTGGCCGCGTGCACGCATGATCCTGCGCTCGTTACCGACACCGACAACGCGAACGCGACGGCGACTCGCGTGCCGCGTGCGTGCGTGCGTGCGTGCGTGCATTCGTGCATTCGTTCAGCGACGTTCCGCGAGCGACGTGCGACCGATCGAAAAAATCAAAGCCCCAATCCTCCCACCCCCCCCCCTCCTACCCCGCTCCACGCCACGTAACGTATTGCCGTATTGACGTTCGCGTCGAAAATCCGATCTCGCTAGCTGCCGACCGATTAGTGTACCTCTCTTCATCATCCGGCTTCGATTGACCGTGATCAAATTGCGGCTTTTTCTTCGCGATCAAAGTGTGGTTTTTTTTTTTTTGGTCGCGCGATCTGGTTCATCGCCAGCGTGCGATGCTTTTATCGCGACGCGTACGGGCACCGTCCATCCCGACGTCGCGATTCGTGCACAGCGTAGCGATTATTGCGCGTACGCGCGTACGTGTGCGATGTGTGACGGCGACGGGTGGGCGATAGTGCAAATAGTACAGTCCGACGAACTTGTACCACGCGATCCGAATCCTCGTCAACTGCGCGTCTTCATGGAAAATATCGTCTTTAGAATTGGATCGATCAGCAGTTAATGGAGGACTTGAAGATTCGTACGTTCACACTTACGCGAATTCGTCGAGTTTCCCGGCGAGAAAAACCCGCGTGCTCGACGACCGACTCTGTGATTCGTTTGTTTCTTTATCATCCATCCTCGTGCTCGTAGTATATTTTCGCCTTGCCAAGTCACATTGTCCACACTTTTCTTAAAAAGAAAGAAAAAAAAAAAGAGAAAAAAAACGCCGGAAGGTTACGCGATTATCGCCTGTCTGACAGTAAACCTATATAATCGTGAGTGTCGTTCGAAACTTCACTACGGAAACAATGGCCATTGTGATGAGAATTCGGAATAATAAAGTGGTTTATCTGAACATACCTGGTAAGATAGTGGAATACACGTATTTGTTAATTTCTAAGGAAATTATTGCAAGCTCGTATCCGCGCGAATATACGATTCTGTTGGATGCGCACATCGTGTCGCGCGTTCGCACGTGTGCCGTATGTGTACGTGTTAATCTTTTAACCGTCAAAATAGTTCGAAGCACGTGGTCGAGTTTTTTTTTTTTTTTTTTTTTCAAGTATCGATTTTTAAGATATTGCATCTTCCGTCCTATCTTTCCGAAAAAAACATAGGCCGGTATATTCATAGCCGATTATTATATTTAGGACCGGCCCAATCACAAGATGTTATTAACCAATCACAGAGCCGTATTGGCATGAAACAATTGCTTAAGATGAAATCTTGTTGAAATGAAAACGAACTGTGAATATCGGCCGTAAGCTTTTTATTGATAGTCGAATGTCAACAACTAGCCTGATAGTCTCACCTACAACTGTCGACCTGGCTGAAAATCACCGGTGTGCGTTATATAATTCGAATGA